CCCTTGCAGGGAGCTGATTCAAGTGAATTCAGCGGGGGAAGCAGGGATTTCACGCGTGAATGCAACAGGCTGCAGACGGAGAAACACAGTCCCGCTTAGTGGACTGTGTAAGCTGTCACAGCATATGTCAGTACCCCGAACGCGTGCGGCCGGCGGCTAGATAGCGAACGCACCTTGGTGTTGTGCCCTTCCCGTTCTCCTCCCCTGCTCTTGTCCTCTCCAAGTCCTCTCCCTCGCCTGTTCCCCCTTCCTCTAGCGCTCCCGATCCCTCGGTGATATGCTTGTAATCCCCAGGTACGTTCCTTTTCAGGCTGCTATGAGGACCGACGGCGGCAGCGGCGGCGGCGGGCATAACACGATGCAGGGCTGGGAGACAGCCGAGGAGCGCGGAGGCTGATCCGCTCACGCCTCACGCGCAACGGTCACGGTCACGCTCGTGACCGGACCGTGTAAACGAGCGGGTTCAGACCCGCTTCACATCAGAGGGCATAACTTCATTGAGACGTGCTGCATCCGTGAAAGGAAATTGAAGGTAACAGGCTTGTTACATTGCGTTACAATTTGTTACTACGTGACATGCTCTAAGGTTTCACGGTCAAAATTCTCCAGACGCTCTGCGGAGCTGCCCATAGGGCCGAAAAAGTTCCGTCATCAAGAGCGTCTGGTTCAAGACTACAGAACCGAACAAGCAAAGTCATCCAAACTAATATAAGTTGAACAAGATTTTTTTATGAGAATCTGACTTCAGATTCAAATTCGGACATGCTCAAAACGTCAGAAAATGCACCTCCGAAGTTTTTCCCACGAGGTTTCGTATGGTGGCCAAATTTTTGAACATTTTCATTATAGAGCTCTGCATCTCTCTCTCTCTCGCGGGGTCAAACGAGGAGGAATGAAAAATTCCCACCTTGGATGGTGGTGGTACGAGTGAAAGGGGACTATACTTCGGCAACTTGATGATCAGATCGTAGTCGAAATATTCATACACACGCTTGATACTGCTGCAGTCTCCGCCCCTCAATTGTAGAGTGTCAAGGAGATTAGCTCAGTGGGTCTAAAGCACCCTTGGCAACGTTGCTGCAAGTGCATGAAGAGGTCATTCCCTTTCTCTGCAAACAAATGACAAGGTTTGTTCACAGATCGTATAGTGGAGAAGTGACCTGTTTCCCACGGCTAGAGGTGGCCATCACTGTCGGAATTGTAGTCTTCATAGTCATCATGATCTTATAATAGCACGCGTAATAGGCCATCGCTCAGACAGCTCGTTGGCGGCACTTCATTGTAGCTAGGAATTTGGGCGACTATAGGTTTTAGTCAGACAAACAGTCTCAACGTTCTTGGCGAACAAATTCCTCGATAGGCTATGTACATACATACCGACTAGGCGGTGTACTTGGTAAAATTATACACATGGGAAAGGTTTGTTACGAAAACTCAAATTGAATGGGGGCCCCGACTATCGCTTCCATCACCTTCTGAGAGGGATGCAAAAACATACCAGGCTCTCTTGTTCATGAGCCTGTATGTTCGTTGGAGGATATGTATGAGCGGTGATCGGCGGAGTGGACGATCCTGCTAATTGTCCAGGGATGGGAGTAGGCTGGGAGGTATCTGTGTTATTCTCAGCAGGTGTTTTGCCTTTGGGTTTACGAGGCCTGTAAGCAAATCGCTGGATGGGTTCGGTCAGGTTTACAGCGGACAAGACTATGTAGGAATACACACTGATCTCTCTCGCGCGGGAACCACAACGACAGGGCTCCTCGTTTGGGGGCGCAGGCCACGGAGCAGTCTAAGAATTGCCATAAAACCGGCTTTTACCTCAAACACTTTGCTCGTCTGATGTTCTCTCCCATGCTCTGACGTAGCTGCAGGATTCTACAGAGACAGATTATGAATGCCAAAACCAGCGTATGAAATGGATGCGACCCACATCATTCGTTACTTCAGCGAACTAAGGTTTTCGTCGGTTTCAGCGATGGTATTGATTACGTTAAGAAAACCTTACCAAATCTCCCCGCTGTTGTCCTGTATCCCTTTCTACTTCTTGAATGGTGATTCCAAGGCTCTTCTCGACGCTGTCATCAACTCTCTGACCACTGAATCACTCCTCCAACAATCTAGATGCACATCGTACACGTACTTTCCCCAAGATCAATTTTCCATTTCCTGTACCCCACACTCGAACATATCCATCGTTGGTGCCACTCGCTATCAAGAGGCCGTTTGGTGAAAAGACAGCTGCCAGCACTGGGCTTTCGTGCTTCAGATTATGGAGTGGGTTGTCAAGTTCCACACAGTTGATATTGCAGATCAAGACTAGATGATTTGCGCGCGATGCAACCAGAAATGTTCGCCCGTCAGGTGCATATTGTACGCATACCACATCATCGAGCTTCACCACCCGGAACACATCGGTTGATGGTATATCCATTAGATAAACACCTAACGAGGTCCCACAAAGGATGTGATTTCCGTCGGGAGACCAGCATAATGACGTCAATGTGCTCGCTACAGCAGTCGCAAGAATTGCTTCCCACTTGCGCGGGTCTACTCGAGTGTTCCAAATGTAAATCTCCCCCTCGTTTGATCCGGTTGCCACCTTGGTGCCATCGGGGGATACGCTGAGAACTGCGACATCAGAGACGTGCGGAGTCTGAATCCTCTGCATGGTACTTGGGCAAGACACATCTACCATCCATATATCGGATCTATCCCCAGAGACGACGAGAAGGGAACCATCCAGTGAATAACTGATATTGTAGAGGTTAGGAGTCGCGCCCAAACCACAGTCTGGGGAGTCGTCAGGATCCAGGGAAGGTATTATGCTGAGTTCTTTGGTGCCTATATTCCATAAACAAACTATACCACTGTGTCCAGCGCTCGCCAACGACAAGCCATCTGGAGAGACGTCGATGGAATCAATGGTTTGAAGATGTTTGCTAACGGTCTTGACCGTGTCGGGATCATTATCGGGAGGGTGGAAGGGATCCAGGGAGCGCTCTCCCGTCATTGCATTCCACAATATAATGTTTTGGCCGCCTGACGCCGATGCGAACTGACTTCCATCGGGAAGCCACACCAAAGAATTTATTGGGCCTTCAGCATGCATGCTATGATCGCGGGAATATGAGTTGATAAAAACAAGAAAGGAGGTCGGTGCTGAATACACGCACAGTGCTTCTTTAGGAGGGCTTGGATCGTCCTCCTGGTCAAGGCAAAATGTCATAAATGAAAGACAACTTCCAAGAATACTGTATGAGCTTACCTTGGGAAGGAGAAGCTTTCCCGACTCGGTGTCTCGGACGCTGAGGCGGAGACCTTGCCCACAGACTACCGTATGTTCATTGGGCGAAACAGAGAGACAGGGAGCAGGTGCATCTTTGAAAATTTCCCATAAGCATTGTCCTGTGCTCGGATCCCAAGCACGTATACTCCGGTCACACGACGCACTGAGAAGTTGTCGTCCGTCAAACGAGAAGGCAACGTGGGTGACCATCAGCCTGTGTCCCTCCAAAGGGTCGCCATGTGCCACCAGATTATCATCACCGACGTCCCATATGCGAAGTGTCCAGTCCTGACTACCACTTGCGAGCATGCGTCTATCAGGGGAATAGGCCAGCGCCGACACACCCAAGCAGTGGGCAGCAAAGGGCTCACTGGCCCTACGCGAAGCCAAGTGCAGTGTGAGTATTCGTCCGTCGTCGCATCCAATTGCCAGGTGGGTCTCAGAAAATGCAGTGCATATGGCCCCATAATCATACTTCGTAAGCTCCATCTGCTCGGGACCTTGCTTGGGCCATAACAGAAGGGACCTCTGTAGGGTAGACACATCTTGCGTTGTCGCTGCTATGTACCGTCCATCGAGTGCGTGTAATAAAGAAATGATGTAAAGACCAGGATGCGTGGGCCATTTAGTAACCGCGTTGCGTGATTGTATTTCCCATTTGGAGACCTGATGATACGATCCGGTGTATACATGTTGACCATCGGGAGAGAATGACAAACGCTGGGCTTCGGTTATTTGAGCCCTGATTTTGTCTTCGATCTGAAAACCAGTCGTCGAGTCCCATGCCTTCAGCAGACCGCCATGTATGGAAGTAATCCAGGTTCCGTCAGGAGAGTAGGCCACTGCAGCCACTTTGGACGTTATCCCGAAGGGTCTAGGGAGACTTAGATCTGATGGTATGGATGTCATCGTCGCAACGATTGGACAGTGCCTTGAAGATGGGACAGGTGATGGTACGTGCTTAGAGCGCTAATCGGAGGTCGTGGGGAGACGAGTGTTAACACACTTGGTGGCTTGCAAACGAGAGGGGCGGATGTGGCGGGGGCAGCGACGCTGTGGGCGACAAGCAGGAGTTCCTGGTGCCGAAGGCAAACCAGGTGTAAATCACAATTCCTTCCTTTCTGGTAATCGACGTGTTTGACGGCCCGCTCTGCGGACCGCCTTTTCCGCCGGATTCTCCATTGCACGGCTGTTGCCGATTGTGGCTGTGACCACCACTTCCACGACGCGCGGGCACGATTCATTCCAAGATTTATTCTTCTTGTTCTCTACTATGCCTGTGCCCCCGATGAAACAACGCGCCCATCGTGAAACATGCATGTATTTCAAGTATCTTGAACGCGTCTCTCAACCATTACCTCCCAAAATTTGTTTGTGGGCCGTGCTAGGTCTATTTGATAATATAGTCGAAGCTCAGAAGCTAGATCCTAAAATTGAGTAAATACGGCTCGAAAGACGCTTGTGTGTTCTACCCTTCAATGCTTATCTGGTCAGGGCACTGGGTTAAATGTTGCCCAATTACTTTGAGCTTCCGGTGACGAAATGCCTGGTACCCAAAGAGCACTGTACACTAATTGTGCACACCAATGTTTAGATAAACATAACATATAAACGTTGGAATGTTGCAAATGGAAGATAGGGGGTTTAGCACGGTGGAAGCCGGCATCTCGCTGGCATCTCTCCCAGACAACGGGTAAGTCTGTCGTTTTGTCTCACGCTACGGAAGACACTGAGATACTGTAGTTTTTCGACCTTAGGTTCGCAGTGGCGTGGGAAGTCGGAGCTTTAACGCACCTTCCATAACCGTCTGTCCCCCCCCTATAGGTTCGGGGGGCCAAACCGAGGGTGGACAGTAAGTTTGTGCTTGCTCAGACTTCATATTTTGATTAGCCCTCACCACCGACGGCGAATACAATTAAAATGGGAGCAGCGTGCTGTATACACTCTGACTAAGGTTCAGCGGCACTTTCACTAATGTTCCTGACATTGACACAAAGTGAACCAACCTCCGAGGAGCTGGATGCCGGCACAGGTGCTCAAGCTGTTGTGCTCGCCCTTCCAACCCCGCTACCACACGATTTACACTAATTGACGCCTTTCCAGTTAAAGTACTCAATATGATCGAGTTCCCACAGTCTCACTGATTGAGTTCTGGGGGCTCTGGGTTCCACCATGGCTCCTGGCATGGATAATGAGCCTGATGTGGTCTCTAATTCTCTGCGAGTACCTGGATAGAAGGAACAGCTTGAGCAATTAGCTGGGATGTCTAACAAGTAACAATGGTAGCATAGGCTATCAGAATACTTTGGATAGTCGGATTAGTTTAACTCTTTAATATTAATTTAATCATATTTATGCCTATTTAATGGTATGTCCCCCTGCCTAAGTTCGACGACCTAACTAGAGGGTGGACTGTCCACCCCCCGGAGGTTCGGTTCGTGAGGGGGGGGGGGTGGACAGGGGACCGAACCTAAGGTCGAAAAACTACGTATATAGTATACACTTTGTTGTCACTACGTACTCGTAGATGTAGGTCAAAGCGGGACAGCTAGTAGAGTACTGGTAGGGTATGACCCCCACATTATGCAGTCCATTCTTGTCCGATGGTCTCGGCTCAGCGGACAGCCAAAACGTCCGATGGTCTCGGTCCAGCGGACGTCGGCTGATGAGTGTAACCTCTCGGATGAGGCGACTTTAGCTACAGTACTGTACACTATATGATTGCGTCGGGGCGGCCCATGTTGATGTGCTACTACATTAATATATGCTATATAGAAAGCTGCTATTATAACCTGAGGTCAACCACATTAATGATTAAATTGCATTGGGAGGGCCGATGTACAACTGACCAAATGAATACTGTTCCCTTGGATGGGCCGATAGTTTTTCAAAGGGTCCAAAAACCACTTCTCGGGTGGGCCCATCTGGCTACACATTTTTCGCTAGTCACCTGTCGGGCGGGCCCATTCAACTACCTTCTTTCCATTGGCCACTTGTCGGTTGGGCCCATCCAGCCAAATATATTTTACTAGTGATTTATCGGACGGGCCCATGGGGTTGGTATTAATTGTATACTCACTTCTCGGGTGGGCCCAGGCATAGCCAACCCCAGCAAACTCGATCCTGTCGGGCAGGCCGACAGTTAATATGGTACTTTTGACTACAAATTTCGGCCGCTATTTTGGCCGCTATTTTGACCGCAATTCTTGCTGGTTTCTCTGCCTTTATTCCGGCCGCATTTGTAGGCTATTCCATGATGTCAATGACAAACGGCTGTACTGCCAGATAAATATGGAAAGCCCCTAAGTCCAGCTACTACATCCAAACATGCGGCCATCCATCCATCCTCTTGCCGGGGTTATGTCACATACATAACATATAGCGCAAATATCTTATGTTTCGGAGCACTCTCGGCCGATTTTAGTTGATGTTTTGATACCCCAAATAGGCAGGAGTGGCCATTTCCGATGTTAGTTGCTCAGCCAGGTCGGTGTTGTGGTTTATTTGTGTCTGACTCTTTTGGGATATGTCTGAAATCCATAATCTCTGTAATTGGAATAGCTCACCACTCGCTCGTAGTATGGCCCTGAATGTATAGCATGCCTCTAAAAGCGTACATATAAGTATAATGGTAGAATATGGAGCCACAAATATATCCAGAAAGGCATTTGTGTCTTGAAAGGTATGGAAAGTGCGAAAACATATGGATATTTGGAGTTTTATGCTCTCAATACAATACATGTGTTGCCTAAACTACTATGTAGACTTTTGAAGGCATTAAATGAACATAAAATGGCCGCATCTCCCAACAGAAATGCAAGAACAGGCTGCTATACCCCAAAGTTCACATTTCATAGGAGATTTATGCATGAACTTGTCCTATTCACTACTTGACCCAGCCCCAGTACTGTAGTTGAATTTATTGTTACCAAATACTTATAAGATGTTTAGCAGGGCTTTAAACTGAGGTCCCCAAGGCATCAAGTGTGTCTGAATGATCGCGTTTTTTCTGGTTTTGGAGCCCTGATATGGTTTTCTTCCCTTTAGGAAGACACCCACAATGTCCACCAGCCATGATAGGGGTGATGCGAGACTCGAGGAATTTATTCTGAGAGATCGGCTCGATAGGATCATTTGAAACTTGGGGATCAGACAGCAGACATGAAATGCGATCGATTGGCGATTTTTCCTATATTGTAGCGATTTTTCTCGTATGGTGGCCAAATTTTGGCATTGCACAGCATATCCGGCAGGGGTTTCTCGGGAAACGGCTCGTGCAAACGTGTACATTCAGGTGATATCCACGTCTGGTAATGCATAGAATGCGGTCTAGCCTACTTTAGGAGTGTACAAAAATACAAGTCTGAAGTGGTTGACTTTGCTTGTCCGGTACTGTAGTGTTGCCGCATTTGGCGAACTGGCTGGAACCAAGCCGAAGAAACTTGTACTTGCACTTGTCATCAGTCCAGATAAAACACTTCGTCGCTGCGTAGAGACTAAAAACCGCCAAGATTAACACTTGCTTGGTCGGTATTGTGGCAAGAAAGTGTGTTTCAAGGAGTCGGTTTGAGCTGGTTTCCCGAACCGCGGCAACACTAACTACACGACCGACCCTTTGGGGAAATTGCAGGGGCCGGCATGCTCGGCAGGCTCCGGCTATATCTGAATAGGGGATCCCGAGCCGGCCGACATAACCAAGTCTTCCAGCAGTTATGTCTTTTGTTGATGAGTCTTCGCACTTCCTCCTTCGTTTTTGGTCTCTAATTTCGACTATTCAAGGTATTCGTCCGTGAAGTACACAGTGTTGTTGTATCAGCGGCCAAGCAGCCAGCTCGGAGTGCACAATTTAGACATAGCCGAGCCAGCCGAGCGTGCCGGTCTCTGCAATTTCCACTCGAGGGTCGGTCGTGTATCCCATTATGCATAATTGCTCCAAGGAAGCTATGCATTATTGATTATGCATTATTTTGCATATTTGGTGTGCATCTTTCAGAGAAATGCAAAATCCTATTACTTTACTCGTATATTCAAAATTTCTGCCCGCTTTTATTTGCACCGCAGGCAAAGCGGGATTTTCCCGTCACAAATAGTGACTCGAAGAGGTGTTGGATTGTTATAATGTTTTGATCACTATTAGTCGGTAAAAGAGCGGTGGACAAGTTCCTGTTTACATGACACCTGTCCAGAAATGGAGCGTACTGTTATCCCCTGCCAGAAGAGACAGCCAAATTTCCGTAAGTCCTGGAATGTTTTCCTCGCAGGCCCGTCCTGTCAAATAAGGTTTGAAGCATCCCCGAGACCCAAGTTAATACTGAAAAAATCCACGAAGCACCAAAGTGGACGGATTCCCTACTATACAAGCATCAGTTGATTTTAGAACCTAGGACCAACCACCGTCAGACTGTACAGTCTGCGTGGGAGCCGATATCGGTAATAAGCCCATATTAGGCAGGGCATTGGCAGTAGCCGATCCATAAAACGAAAATCAAGGCCTCATTGCCGAGCCGGGTTCGCCGATACGGCGGCTATAAGATTATAGTGAGCCTCGAGAGGACACTCTGTCATCGGTCCAAAATATTGAGAGCTTGTGCCTTATGGTTGCGCCCAGTTTTATTTCAGTGGGGGCGGAAGGTGTTAGATCAATATATGATTACTCTTTTGTACACAACCTGAGGTTATTTCGCAGCTGGTTATTGACCCGAGCTCAAATTTTTTTCAAAAGAGCCCATTTTCTGTCTTTTGAGCCATGTTACTTCATTTCTAGACATCCCCTTGCCAATCCAACGCAGGATGATATGTAATGGCATGGGATCATAATTATCATGAATTTAGTTTGAGAGTTTTGAGGGGGA